CAGCCCCGTTACTTAATCAACCCTGTTGCCTAGGCATTTGATCCAAACATCCTCTTTAGCTGAAACCTTGCAGGACCTAGCCCACATGATAGAAAAGAATTTTCTGCCCAAAATCATTATAGAAATCCTCTAAGATCCATACCAGCAGCCGTAGGATACAGGATGGGGAGGGACCGGTCCCACCATCTCACTGAGTTAGTGACTGGACATCAGTTTACTGCTGTTTGAAGAGTTGTCCGGGCATCTTTTCAGAAGGGGATATTGAGCAACGAATACATGGTGGTGTGTGCTCACAGTTCTCCTTCTTCTCCTTTTTACTGGGAGGGGTTGCAGCAGGGGTTCAGCGTAGCTTAGACTGGCTTCAGACTCAAAGTCCTTCTGTCTGGGGTCCATGCTATGAGCCAACAGAGCCAGCTGAAAAGTTCTAGGAGATGGCAGAAAAAGGAAGGAAAGAAAGCAGGAAATTCTTGCTCCAAGGTGGTCTGTCATCAAGTTAAACAATGTGTGCATATTTCCTGTCTCAGCGCCTTTCATGTAAGGGGAATTCAATGACAGTTACTTTACTTACTCTGACTGGAACGCCTAGAAAACAACACATTCTAGAACGCTCGCCAATGGGTGCCGTTTGGTTTGGGAATGCATTCATGTAAGCAAAGCCTGAAGAAATGAGGCCAGAGAGGCTAACTTTGCAAGAAAGTCAAGGGAGCTCCAAAAGTTGGATAATTTGGCGTTTGTATAAGAAAAGACACTCAGGTACCCACAGGTTTGGAGGACTTGAACTGGCTTTACTGTAAGAGTCACATGCTGAAAAGCCTTAAACAAGAGAAGAAGCTCACAAGCACCACCTGCAGCATGATGAGGGAGCTGCAGGCCAGTGGAGCTCTGGACCCAACAGTCGTTTTGATTCTGATTGTCCAGCGTTGAGGCTCGATTATTACGGAAATGCCAACTCAGCAGCTACTTCTTTCTTTCTAAATCAACAACCCCTCTTTGTTTTCTTTAACAGTTTAATTCCTGGTGTGTAAATATAAATGACCTATTTAACTGATACTTTTCATATCCTTTTTTTGGATAATGGTTACCAGCATATCCCTTCAAATGACATCATACTGTTTGAAAACGATCAGTTCGGGTCTAGCCCAAGTTAGGAATGTGAAGAAAGAGAACACACTGTAGAAACTGCCTACAGGGGAAGGCCATTCAGCAAAGCCAATGCCACCAAAGAGCGTCCTTTGTCATTGGAAGAGCCAGGTAGCATGCAACCGATATCACTGTTTTTTTTTTTTTCTCACTTAGCAAAGCTTCAGAGGAACACAGTACTAGCTTGCTAACACAATGACTTCAAATTGTCATGAGCCAGGAGTCATTTTGGTTGGATATTATGAGGCTGCATTGCATAAATTTAAGCCAAAAAAATAATAATCTTTAAAGCCAGGCAGTGGTGGTGCACACCTTTAATCTCAGCACTGGGGAGGCAGAGGAAGGCAGATAGCTGTGAGTTTGAGGCTAGCCTGGTCTGCAGAGAAGGTTCCAGGACATCCAAGGCTACACAGAGAAACCCTGCCTCAAACACCAAAGCAACAACAAAATATTCTTTAAAAACTAGTCATGAGAACTGGATAGATGGCTCAGTGGTAAAGAGCACTGGCTATTCTTCCTGAAGACTTGGGTTCAACTCCTAGTACTCACATGGCAGCTCACAACTATCTGCAACTCCAGTTCCAGGAAATCAGACACCCTCACATGTAAATGCAGGCAAAACACCAGTGCACATAAAATAAAAGTAAAACCTAGTCATAAACCCAAATTATTATACTTTCTTAATGATTATTAACAATTTAAAAAACAGCAGTCTCTCCCTTCTTTCCTAAGATTTCCTGCACTCTGCCCAAAGGTTGGCTGTGAGTCTCAGCATCTGCTTTGATACTCTGCAGGGTAGAGCAACAGATCCAAAAAAAAATCTGGACACAGGGGTCTTTTCTGAGACTGATACTCCAACCAAAGACCATTCATGGAGACACCCCTGCACAGATATAGCCTACAGCAGTTCAGTGTCCAAGTGGCTTACATAGTAATGGGGACAGGGACTGTCTCTGACAGGAACTGATTGGCCTGCTCTTTGATCACCTCCCCTTGAGGGGGGGATCAGCCTTACCAGGACACAGAGGAAGATAATGCAGCCAATCCTAATGGGACCTGATAGCCTAGGATCAGAAGGAAGGGGAGGAGGACCTCCCCTATCAGTGGACTGGATGAGGGGCATGGGTGGGGAAGGGAGAGGGAGGATGTGATTGGGAGGGAAGGAGGAAGGGAGCTTCGGGGGGATACAAAGGGAATAAACTGTAATTAATGAAAATGAAAAATGAAAAAAGCAGTTTTCTCAATGTATGAAAGCACAGACAACATGCTGTTAAGAGACTGCTGCACAAAGTAGCATGCGTATGTCACTTGTGATATATAAATTCAGACATGGAAAACACAGAGAAAAAACTTGAAGCAGTGTCATAATCAGCTTGGTCCTTGCTGAGTTTAACTGGAATATTTCTTAGTAAATATAGCCTTTCCACACATATGCACTTAAGTTACATTTAGGGGACTTTTTGAGAACATGAGAAATAAGCTCATGAGAAATAAACAGGAGTTGATGTAGAAAATGTTCATTTGTGTTTCTCTGTCTGTAAATGCCAGAAATATCTTGGGTATAATGTTGCGTGAATGTGGCTTTAGTGTTTAATACGATTTAAATTTTCTCTTTTTTAAGGACGTTCACACGTTTATTATTAATGACTGTTGCTTTTCATCTTTATCTACTGAGTTTACTAAGGAAGGCAGGCGGGTAGGAGGGACTCTGTGGATGCTGCTATTGGACTACTCGAATAATTTCTTTTATCTGACAAGAAGCTACATCCCTCGAAGCCTGACATGATCCTCTCAGCCAGGGGTGGCCCGTCCCAAGCACATGCTTTGCGCTGCGTTGCTCTTTCGACTGGCTACCCCATTCCTATGTCTTCGGATCTTCCCCAAAGCCCTGCTGAATCAGACACTACTGAACCCAAGGAATTGCTAGAACCACACCTTCCCTGACAAGCTTCTCTAGAAACAGTCAGGCCTTGCCAAAATGCCCACGAGTGGGGTCTAAAACATTCAGTGAGGAAAACACAGCTCCGCATTATATTGAAGTCGTTCAGATCCCTGGTGTTAAATGGATGCATCTAGTCTGGACTACAGCCAAGGAAGGCAAACTCGTTGGAGTCCCAGCTGCAGTTCAGCATCAGCTGCTGTCCACCACAGCTTAAATGCTAATAGAGATGACATCAGAGCAGTTTGAGCTTCCTGGATACTAGCAAGAACTGAGGTCCAGTTCTCCAGAGAAAGATGCTGAGGGAACGCTGCGGGCTTCAAGATCCCAGCTTCAAAGACACTATTAGCTGCCATTTTTCTCCAGCTGTCCTACACTTCTCCTCAATCTCTTCCCCCATCACTTGGTGTATGGAGGCCATGTCCCTAGGTGCTGTATTCAAGTTGTAGACTTATGTTGCACTTGTAGCACTGGACATTGAAGACAGATCTGATTCCCAGAGTGAAGCCCTTCCCTTGCCAGCACTTTTCAGAATGCCCTTCTCCTCCACTCAAATGTTAAGACAGAGTACTAGACAGGGCTCTGCATGCTAGGCAGAGTTCTTACATAATTTTTTTCCTGTAAAAAAAAGAGCAGCCCCATCAGACCCCAAAACCTAGGTCCATCTTCGTTTCCAAGTCAAACAGAGAAAAGGGTGATGGAGGAGCACAGGACAGGAATACATCCTTCTCTTAACTTTTAGCATGTCTTATGGGTAAGCAGCTCCTAACTCTACCTATATCTCACACGCCATTGGCTTGCTTATATCTCTGCTTAATGTGGCTTATGAGTTTTATCCACTCTGTTTGCTTTTCTTGCCTTCTCTAGCAGAATTGAATATTCCCAAATCCTACAGCAAACATACATTGTAAGCAAAAAGATATGGGGGGAATCATAACAGGCAGGAGAAGATTTTGCTTCACAGTGGTAGAAGAAGTACAAACCATGATGTAGAGTAGCTGAGTCACAGCAACAGAAGAGTTTAAAGCAGAAATTTTGTGCGTGAAGCACCAAAGGGTGACAGTGTTTCAGTCATGGATGTCATGCTCCTCTGACATATTCTGGGGAGTCTCAAAGAATCATTTCTGTTCCTCTAAAACGAGTAACTCACAATCAGGGCAGTTGTATCTCAAGAAGCCATCTTTCCTGGTCCTGCCTTCCCTCTTTCACCACCACCACCACCACCCAACACCACTGGAAACCAGCTTGAGGCAAATGTCACGATGGGGAAAATATGCAAAGCAACATAGGATCATGGCTGCATTTGAACACCTGTTTGTTACCTGGCTGATTTTGATAAATCAATAACATAGCAGATGGCTTCCAACACCTGTTGGGGTGAGCTCTTTCTAGAATTTAGGCCCCTTGAAGGATTTGTGCCAGGAGTCATTTTTTAAAGACATAATAAGCAGTCATGGCTAGGCACGGTTTTCTTCCTCAAGTCCACACCAGCCATAGAAATGTGACTCAAATGAACACTCCTGCATCAATATTCCAGGCCATAGGCTCTCAACATTTTGCAATAACCACCAGGGGCCACAGGTCCATTTTTTTAATTTTTAATAATGATGTTCTTCAGGCTATATTAACTGTACAAAAGTTGATTTTAGCTTCTGTCTTTAGGGGGTCTAGGAGCTACATGTAGCCCCGATCCCCTGGCTGGCAGTGCTGAGGTAGCATGAAATATTACCTGGTGGCTGTGAGCATGTGTGTGGGGCTCTACTTATAAAGCTGACAGTCAAAGATGAGCCACCTCTTTTCAACGCCAAAGTTGGGGGAAGACAGAGACGGGGAGAACCAGGCTTAGGCCATGCGCACGCTCACACCAGCACAAATCAAGTGACCATTTGATGGTTAGCACTTTATTCTTTCTTTCCTTTAGAACTCCTTCGTCAACTTGCCATCTGCTCTCACCGATGAGTTCAACTGGCCGCAGCTGTCTGGGGTTACCGGATTTCTGGACTCCACTAGTGGGTATGTTTGCACACTCACGCACTGTGTGCACACTCACGTACTGTCTGGACACTCTCACACTGTCTACACACACTGTTTGTCTACTCACACTGTTTGCTCACTCACACACTGTCTGCACACTCACACAGTAGCTGACCTGCATAAGGAGAGAAGAGGATCTGGAGCTTGTTCCCAAGATATTGAAATGAGAATCATTTTGAGTTGCTTCTAGACCATGAAGGACATATACAGAACTCAGCACTGACATGGTCCAGCCAGTATGCCAGGGACTGGTCTACTCCAAGGAGGCTGTACTTTATATTTGGTAGAAAATACTCAAAACATATCCATGAATTTTTCTAATTCCAGAGACAAAAGAGTTTACTTGACGTTTGATTCAAGAAACCAATAGTAACAAAAATAATAGATAAAATTAATTGGCAAGTCATGGGGTCTGTTAATTATGCTGGCTTTTGGTGCTCTGGATTTGAAAACAGGCCATACCACAATAAAACAGTTTTCTATGTGTGATGGATATTGACTGAGAATCCAAAGTGTGTAATCCCAGGATTACACCCATCAGAGACACCTAAGATGCTATGGAGGTTTGCAAACATTTCTAAATGATACAAAACCCTGGGTATAAGAGGGAACATTTCTCCCATCATGCCAAAGTTTACAACTAGCAATAAGCATAAGGAATACAGCAGACAAAAGCCTTCTTTATGGAAGTAAAAGAGAGGGAAGAGCGATGGCCGGACATGGCCAGCCCTTTCCAGCTTGGGCAATGGCAGCAGAGAGCCAGTGGGCATCAGAAGTCAGGCCATGGTAATGATGGGAAGATAAGGGTCAACAGACTTTATTTACCTGAAGTACAAACAGTAGAATGCCCAAGAGTTTTCCATTTATAGTTTTAACACATAGATTTTTTTTATCTGACAAAGAACATCATTTTTCATAAGTAAAGTGTTTATTACCTGTGACAGTCATTTTTAAAGTCCTCAGTAAAATACTTATCATCAACCAGACGTAAGTACCATGGGAGCTGTGTCCTTTCTTGAGGTCAGTTTCTATCAACACGGTAGGTGAGACAAAGGGAGTGCGGTGACAATACAAGGCAGATATGCCAATGGCAGGTTTGACCACTGGATTTGGGTGGGAAAGTGCTCACGAAAACGATCGATAGCCTTTTGGGGTACAAGGGACAGAGCTCAGTCTCCACAAGTGACTTTTAAGGAAACACACTCATGATTCTGTCAGACCTGTCTGTGAATAGAAGAAAAGCAGAGCTGTGTTTTCAATTCGCTTCATTGTCAAACTCAACTTTTTTAAAGCTAGTTTCTTCTCACCCATGTAAAATTTTAATAATTAGTAAGTGGTGTTAGTAAGAAGTAACCCTTGTGAGAAGTCAAAGGAAACTCTGCACCACACGCCATACCGGGTTCCCGGTAGCGGTCATCTGGTTTCGTTTGGTCTTGCAATTAAGGAATCTAAAGTTTAAGTAGGCATATTAAGAAGCTTAACCAAGATCACTCAGCTAATAAGAGTGAGTCTGGCAGGAAAGAAAGGAGTTCCAGCCTGGAACTCCTTCCGTGCATTGCTGCTTTAATCCTGGAGAGTCTCTCCAGCCACTGTCACTTTGGGTGTATGGCCTTAGAAAAAGTAAAGAATGGGCAACTCAGTCTGTGTGCAGAAATATATGGACATTTCCCTCAGTTAAGCTTTGTGTGTTAATAACAAAAAGAACTGATTTGTTTTCTTGTTCTTCATGTGGACGCTTGAATTAAAAGAGGAATGCTATAAATTTCAGCCAATTTTTGATCTCATGCAGTTTTCAAGAAGGAAATGCCAAGTTGATGTGTAAATTAAGTAGTTTACATCTTTACCAGACTGTAGGAAGAACAGCTTAGAGTGGGTGTTGGAGAAAGCAAGTTTGTCAATTATGATGGCCTATTTTCTTCAACACAAGGAAATGGATGACACTTGGTCACCCGGAATGCCAATGAAAGTGGAGAAACAACCTGGTGAGCCTTTGCTATTCTATAGAGCCAGTTCCCACCTGAAACACTGCCCCCCAGTATCCTCAGCATTATTTAGGCCCTAATCTGAAGCTTTGTCTCAGTGAATAAAACCGATCCCTATAAAAGAGGTACTTTTCATCTTCTACCTATAGAATCTATACTTACCCTTATCATAGATTCTTCTTCTAGATACTAGCCATGAGCTCTGTTTATCAGCCAATAATTTTTTTTTCTTATTGTAAAGGTACATTGCTATCTCTCTAGGGAGTTTCCATGTAGCTATATCCAAAGCTTTGTTGTAATAAAATTGTCACGTGAAACCATCTTTCCTTTTTAGTTTTTCTTTTTATTATAATTTATTCACTTTGAACCCCAGCTGTAGCCCCCTTCCTCATCTCATTTCAGTCCCACTTTCCCTCCTACTTCTCCCCCTATGCCCCTCCCCTAGTCCACTGATAAGGGAGGTCTTCCTCCCCTACTATCTGACCCTAGCCTATCAGGTCTCATCAGGACTGTCTGCATTGTCTTCCTCTGTGGCCTGGCAAGGCTGACCCCCCTCCCAGAAGGAGGTGATCAAAGAGCCAGCCACTGAGTTCATGTCATGTCAGAGATAGCCTCTGCTCCTCTTACTAGGGAACCCATGTGGAGACTGAGCTGCCTATGAGCTACATCTGAGCAGGACATCTAGGTCCTAGCCTCACAAGGAGGCTAACAAAGCCAAAAGGGCTGGGCTCAGAGGTCCTGCAGAGACTGATGCATCAATGAAATACCATGCATAGAGAGGACCTAGACCCCCTGCTCAGATTTAGCCCATAGACTGCTCAGTCTCCAAGTGGGTACCCTAGTAAGAGGGGAAGAGATAGTCTCTGACATGAACTTGGTTGACCGCTCCTTGATCACTTCTCCCTGGTGGGACAACCTAGCCAGTCCACAGAGAAAGAGGACCCAGGCATTCCTGATAGGATCCGTTAGGTTAGGGTCAGACAGTAGGGAAGAAAGACTTCCCCTATCTTCGTACTAGGGAAGAGGGGTAGGGAAGGAAGAGGGAGAGAGGGTGAGACTCAGAGGAAATGAGAGAAGGGCTACAACTGGAATACAAAGTGAATAAATTGTAAATAATAATAATAATAATAATAATAATAATAATAATAATAATAAAAGAATGTGTAAGAAGAGTAAACTATAAGGTCAGTCTTTGGAGGTCAGTCTCTGGAAGTCTTGACCCAGTGCCCACAAAGATGGTACTGACTCAAGTTTCATTCTTCACCTAGTGCACATGTCTCCCTGCCAGCTATGAGATTTGTGGGGTACCCCAACACTAGACCCACTCTGAATGGAAAATGATGCAATTTTTGAAACTTTCTGTGGAGAGCAGCATCAGATGCTACCTCTGGGCAGGTGGTCCCAGGCTACAGAAGAAAGTAAACTGAGCAAACATGAGCAATACGCCAGTCAGTAGCATTCCTTTCCTCCACGGCCTCTACTTCCATCCCTACCCCCAGGTTCCTACCTTAAGTTCCAGAAAAATGTGCAAACCTACTTCTTCATCTCTCTCCACATATAGCTCAGACACACGGATGGATTAAAATGGGATGGTGAGAGCTGTATTATGTAAATGCAGATTTATTGGAAGCAGTGTGGGAGGGGGAGGGAGAGAGAGGGGAGAAGAGTTCACGCAGAAAAAGAAGAGAGAAAAGGAATGGAGCGAGAGGGAAGGGCAGAGAAACTAAAATGTTTGGATGAAGTAGTGAAGGGCCTCTAGGAGAGGGAAAGCCACACCCCTAGGTGGAGGGCAGGGAGGGCCAGCCATGCGCTGTAGCAGGTAGGGACCTAACACACACTAGCAGTTGCTTTTCCTAAATCTAACTGCACAAACTGTACAACTCAGCTCCTGCCCCTAGGCAGATTCTGTTCAGCCATCTTTAGTTTTTGCAGAGGGGTGGTGAGAACAGCTAACCTCCTTTCCTCGCACCTGCTGTATTCTGACCCTGAGGTTGGTTCTCCCATCAGTGTGAAATCTCTCTGGCTCTTCAGTCCTCCAGCACTTTCTACCCTCCATCCTCATTAGAGCCAGTCGGTGGCCACCGATTTCAGAAGTGTGGCGGTGGGAGAGGGAGCTAGGCCAACCTGGGGAGTCTTCGCACACAAACAGCCTATGAAAGATACATAGAGAAACTCTGTCATAATTTCCCCTCGTCCATATTCTGCTGCTGTGACAGAACGCCACAGGCTGTCATTTATCTAGCGTTTGTTTGTTTTATAGACTTGTTTATTGTATTTTTTTCCTTTTATTGAAAATAGATTTTTTTCTCACATAATATATCCTGTTTTCAGTTTTTTCTCTGTCTATTCTTCACAGTTTCTTCACTCCTCCCTCTCCCCAATCCAGAGCCACCCTCTTTTTTTCTCTCAGTAGAAGACAAACAGACTCCTAAGAGATAATAAATAATAAAAAATGGAATAAAAATTAACACACGTCATAAATAGGACAAAACAAACAAATAAGAAGCCCAAGAAAAGGCAGAAAAAAAACAGATATAGAAGCAGAGGTCTATTTGCACTCATTTGAACACTTAGGAATCCCATAAAAATACTAAACTGGAAGCCATAATATATATGCAAAGGGCCTATAGGGTAAAAAGAGAAAATATATAAATAAAATTAAAAGTAAGATAATTAAAAAAAAAAAAGGAAAGGAAAAGCCCTGATGAAATTGCTGTGACATAATCAGATAAGTACCCTCCAGAGATGCCACTGAATATGTTTTCTGTTGACCATCTCCTTCTGGGCACATAGCCTGCCTTAAGAGTAGTTTGTTTCCCCAATGAGACTCCTGTGCAAAAAACTAAGCTTTCATTTGCAACTGTTTATCAGTTGGAGAGAGTTTTTGAGTTAGGATTGGGAGTGCTCGTCCACTTTTCCTGTCAGCTCTAGGACCCAGTCTGGGGCCGGACCATGTAGGCTGCCTCTGTCTCTGTCTGCAAATGAAAATGAACTTTG